ACCACATCATCAAGTCATCTGCCTGAGCCAAAGCAGATTCACTTCAGTAGCAAGGTCGATACAAGTGTAGTAGATCTTCGTATATGAGCTTGATCTCATAAGCTCTCAAAAGCTGTTTCTTTTCCTTGGTTATGATGATCCTACTTTTAGAACCAACCCACTGAGATTGTTTCACCAAAACATGAGTCAAGTTGTTCTACTTTATCAATATCATCAACAATAACTTTTCCAGATACTGCATTCTTTCCTTTACACCATATCTTAATCATGCATCTTATTCCCATTTATTCTAAGTTATCCATGCTTTGATAGTACAAATGGCCTTTGGTACTTAAAGAAATTCAAGCTCTTATTCCATTCATAGCGAAATAAAGGTTCCAACACAATTTTTAACCTCCTTACAAAGAAACCTCTTTTCGAGCGCCTTATTTTATAAATAAAAATGCTTCGGGAGCGGGTCGTTACATTTAACCTCTGTTCGTTTCCAGCTCCTTGTCTCTGCATCCTCATTATGTCCAGATTCTCCTCTTTCTTGAGTTTTATCTACACCATCCACTATATCATCCTCAACGTCATCATTATCACCATCATCATCATCACCACTCTCATCTCCACCATCATCACCACCATATGCATTTTCTTCATCCCTCAAAAGTTGTACACCGCATCCTATGACCTTCCACGTTTTCTCATGGACTCTGAACAGAAAAGAAAGCTCGCCCAAAGTGGCTTCTTTGGCTTCAGGGCAGTCCTGGTTTAGAGAGAAATAATCTTCAAATATATAAAGATGTTCCAGTTCATATGGAGCTGACATGTGATGGAGCTGCTTTGATCCATATTGGATAGTGAGGCCATTCTGTTTACCCCTGACCCGACAAGACACACCCTCATACTCTTCATCATCGTCATCATCATCATCATCATGATCCTCGAGACTACTATTGCCTTCTGACAGCAAGACACAAGCTCTGAATCTGAAGGATGAAAGAAGAGGTGTAGGAGTCAAATCGATCGTTATGGAACCTGAGCTACCTCGGTGATGGAAGTGTGCAGGCACTTGTTCACCCGGTAAAACCGCATATTTGCAAGGTGTTGTCTGAATAAGCTTCCTAGCTTTCTGATTCAGGCCGAAGCAGTTAGAAAAGTTAAGGCAAATATTTGGATTCTTGAAAGTAGAGTCTATTCTCTTCAAGGAACTACACCATGATGCATCTAGAGATACAAGGGAATCCGGAAGCGGTGGAAGTGATTTGAGCACTGTGCAAAAACTGATGTCAAGGTTACTTAGTGTGGAGAGACGTCCAATGCAATCCGGAATAGTCCTCAAACCATCACAGCGTAAATGTAATGATATTGGAGATGTACGAGCCTTCTCAGGTAGACATATGGGTAAAATGTAGTCTTTGTTGAAGTCTGATACTAATGTCCATCTCCGTTCCAAGTCAGGCCCCCACTTGAATATTGCTTCAAATACGTCAGCATCGGTAACTTCATCTTCATCGTCACTACTATCACAGATAAGCAGACCAAGATACTCAAGATTCTCCAACTTAGAAATATTTGGGGATATTTTTCTCAGCTTATTGCATCCATGCATGTTTAGTTTACGCAGACGAAAGAGCTTCTCAATCCACGGAGGGATCTCCTCTATCTTTGTAATGGACAACTCCAACTCTACAATGCTGTCAGAAACATTTGGGAACTCCTTGAGGTTTCTACACCCAGACATATCTAGTTTATATAGACAAGACCAAGTGCATGGCATTGTAGAAAAGCTTGTTTTCAAACTCGAGCAACCACAGAGGTCTAACTCCTCGAGATTTATTAACCTACGCATAGAAGAGGGGAGCTCCTTCAAAACCAAGCAACCTCTAAGGTTGCAGAATGTAAGCTTAGTGGCATTGCCAATAGAGCTTGTGAGTTCCAACAGATTTTGGCAGCGATGGAGATCTAATTTCTCGAGACTTGTTGCTTTTGAGAGATCAGGAATCTCTTTCAGATACTGAGAATCACTCAAATCCATCATCTTGAGGCACTGGAGAGGCTATACCAGAAAACAATAATAATAAAAATAAAGATAAGTTTTAGATAAATGACTAATTGCGCTTTACATGAAATAATACTTACTTTGATTCCATCCCAAAGCTTCTCAAAATTGTTGTTGGTCATGATTAGTTGGACAAGAAACTTGCCAGAGAACTTGGAAGGCCAAAATCTCATTGGACAGTCACTCCAATGTAAAAGTCTGAGTTTGTCGGGAAGACAGTTGAGGCCTTCGGGTATGCATAAGTTTTTAGAGTTGACTGTTAGAAACTGGAGATTATTCATCCCTTGGAAACTGCTTTTACTTAGTTCAATTTCCTCTTCCTCTGAAGTCTCCAAAGATATGCCAAGAACATTTCCAATACCCTAGAATAGATTATTTTAAAAAAAAACAATATCAGCTTAAGAAAGAACCAACAAAAGAGACAACTAAAAGAAAAAGAAAAACTTACAGTATTTTCTTCAAGTACATCAGAAATTTCCATGGTATCCCCCAAGAACAATCGCTTTCCAGGCTCCTCCAGAGACTGTTTCTTGACAATGTCTCTACCCATTTGTTTCAGTAAACTATGCATCCTTATGGATCCGTAGTCTATGTATATAAGAGATTTATCATCTAAGACTTGAAGCCCATGGTTGACCTCCAAACCGCTTTTTTCAAGATACTTCTTAACGTTATCAACCTTGGAATGTTCAAAGAAGCATGCAATATACAGAAAAAGATACTGATCTTTATCACTTAAGGCGTCATAGCTAAATCTTAGAGTTGATTCAATCCCTCTGTCAAGGCTGGACCTGAGCCTTGGAAGTGCCTCTATCCACTCATCCCTGGACATTCCTCGTAGATACGATCCCATGACTCTCAGGCCTAGAGGAAGCTTACCAGCAAGCCAAGTAACTTCCCAAGCAAGCTCTTCAAAACCACAATCCGGAGACGTTTGACCGAAAGCATATTTGCACAAGATCTCAAGAGACTCATCACTAGTTGGAAATTTCATCTCGTAGAGGTGATCGTTCCCTAGTCTGAGTGCCTTGAGAAGTTTTCTATCTTCGGTTGTAATGATAATTATACTTCCGGAACCAAACCATCCACGGTTCATTGCCATTTCCTCGAGTTGCCACAAGCTATCAACTTCATCAAGAACAACCAACAACTTTTTGCCACTCAGCAATTCTCTAGCCACTTCTAAGTGATGAACCTCAATATCCCTTTGATTTAATATTTGAGACAACAAGTTTTTCTGCAAACTCAGCTTCAACAGATAGTCGTTACCACAAGGCTTCTCATAACTTCCTTTGATATTCTCCAAGAAAGTGCTGAATGGAAAACCAGGAGAGAGTTGGTTGTATAAAACTCTGGCAGTGGTCGTCTTACCAATCCCAGGTGGACCCACAAGCACAATCACCTTAACTTGTTCAGATTGTATGATCAACTTCAACTTTATCTCCGTGATACAAGCTCCTATGCCAACAAAGTCATCAAAATCTTTTGATGGTGTAAAACCCAACTCGGCTGTAACATCTGAGGCAACTTTGTTGATCATTTCAACTTCATTGTCACTAACAAAAACAGAAAATATCCATTAAAACAGAAAAGTAGCTACACATAATAGCATTGTTAGAGAGAAAATTCCATATTGGAAATATAAAAGCGACTTAAACAATATATAAACGATTTGGACCAATCTAGTTACGACCAATTGGTTTTAAATTGTAAACCTATGATAATCCCGAATCTAACATGGTATCTTATCTCCAACAAGTATAAATGTATAATACACAGTGGAAGTAAAAGTGAACGAACCAGTTGCTCGAGTGATAACCAGCTATGCCCGCGACATCTTTCAAAGCTTGCCTCCATGCCTGCTTCACCTCTTCAGTTTTCCCCACATAGGTTTCATCAAAGGATTTTCCGAAATCTCCGGTCTGTTTCCTAACATCAGATGGATCCACTTCATAGAAAATGGTCATCACTGTTTGTTGATACTCTTCCCTGCACTTCATGATTTCCACCAACTCATCCAGACACCAGCTTGAAGAGGCATAGTTACGGGAGAGCAAAACAATGGCTACCCTTGATTGTCTGATGGCTTCTACAAGCACCGGACCAACAGATTCGCCTCGCTTGATCTCGTTATCAATGAAAGGTATGATTCCCTTGCTTTTGAGCCCTTTCAGAACGTGACTTAGAAAGCCTTTGCGCACGTCTACTCCACGGAAGCTCAGGAAGACGTGGTACAACCAACTACGAGACAGAGATGAAGAAGAAGAAGAAGCCATGGATAACATCACGAAGAAAATGATCACAAAGCTTTCAGAACTGAAGAAGAGATAAGAACTGAAGAAAAAGTGGCTTTCTACGTGTGTGGCTCATAAATAGCACGTGAAAGGGTAAAGACGCGTAAATAGCAAAGGCTGACTTTTCAAGTGTTAGAAGAAGAGTCAAGGAATCCAATGATCTTTTATAAAAACTTTAGCAATTAATCAATTATATAATGATTTGAAGAAACTTTTGCAATTATAGTAATGATTAGAGTGTACAATGTGTTTATACCTAACTTTAGCAATTATGTAATGCTTAGAGTGTACAATGCGTTTATACCCAACACACATCTTAAATTTTAGTGTCAATTTGACAAATACACTATGCAAGTTCATGGATTAAAAGATCAAGATTTTTTTTTTTGTAACACCAAACAAAAACAGTTATGATTTATTTATCTCTTATAGTAAGTAAACTTTTTACCAATTAAAACTCAAAATTACCATATTCTCTAATTACAAGCTTAACATGTCCCATCTCCTAAGTCTAATGCTAAAACATTGTTAATAGATTTGGACAAAAGACCAAAAGTGATTTAAGTAAACACAAGAAGTAGCTGGCGAGTCAACTTTCAAAGGGACTTAGTATATAGTCTTGTCTTCACCTTTACATAACAGTCATCAAGTCTCTCCCCATAATTTGCTGTAAAAGCAAAGATACCAAGCCCATATCATATTTTCACCCAACCAACCAAAAACATCACCAATACAATACCTTCTTCTCTATCTATTGTTCCTCCATGGAAATGAAAGCCATGGAAGAAAGTGATCATGTTGATACTTCTCGTCCTTTTAGCTCAGTAAAAGAGGCTGTTGCCATCTTTGGCCAACGGATTACACTACCAGGACAAACTCACACGGTAAACCACAAACCGGTAAGTCCTAGAATCAACCACACTGTCTCTTTGCCATCTTCCCCATGGAAGCAGCGCCCTTCGTTGCCCTCTTTTCCTCAAGGTCCAAAAGAAGAGTTCATGGATGTTTTAAAGAAGCTTGAAGCAGAGATAACGGAGACAAAGACAGAAGTGAAGAAGTTGAAGGAGAGAGAGTCAGAGACAGAGGTGGCTTTGGCAACATTGAACGCAGAGATGCATAAGAACATGTCAAAGATGGCTAAAGCTGAGGCTGATGCTGCAGGGAAGAGCGCAGCAGCAGCAATGGCCAAATCTGTGAGCGTTAAGGAAACAAAAGAGAAGGAAAATGGAGATGAAGAGAGGAGGAATGAGTTGATGAGGAAGATGGCAAGGGAGTATCCTACATTGGCTCAGATACTTGATAGTAACAGAGGAGACAGAAATGGGTATTTTGGGAAGAAGAAAAAGAAGAAACCTATTGTTCCTCTTTTGGGAGATTTCTTCTTTTTCAAGAAGAAAGATTCTTCGGTTGAAATCTCTGGACCTCTTTTCACTACCTCGTCCACTCTGCGCTTTTAGCTGAAATACCTAAATCCGAATAAAATCATGTACACTGCAAGTGTTTATATATATGTCTGTATGCAATTCAATATCGGTGATATCTATGTATATGTGTGTGTGTTCTCTATTTGTTTGTCTCTTTGATTCTTTGTTTGCATTTTGTATAAAAAGCAGCACTTGTGTTCCCTCTTTCATCCTATAAGAGTTTTAATCTAATGACATCACAGATTAGAGAAAAGTAAACATAGAACAACTCCCACGACCCAGATTACCAACATTGCAGAGAAACTAAATATCAATCATGAGAGCCGTATGAAAAAGAACAAACTTCGCATACTTTTCTAGACACTAATAACTCAGAACACCGAGCCTGTTGTGAGAAGAAGGTAGAAGTCTCTGAAACTAAAACACCTCGACGGTTACAAAAATCTAGACAAGGCTAGTGATAACTGTTCCTAAATGTGTTGCTTGATGCAAAGATCAATTAAAAAAGCAGGACACAGCATCTTTTACTTTCTTATTACTGTTTCAATAGATAAAACAACAATGTGTAGGATCCGTACAGAAAAAGAGGTAAAATTACAACAGCAACGGGAGAAAAAAAGACAGAACTATAGAGCTGAGACAAAGGTACCAAATCTAGAAATTTAAACCGAAGTGTCTTCTTAAAACTTGTTCATCGTATGCAACTTCCTTACCAATACATTTAAAGCTTGAGGTTTCTCAGGAGTTGACCCCATCTTGGAGTTTCCTCATCAAAAATGTAGGTAAGAGGTGAAACTAACACCCCACTGCCTCCAACCTGTAGTACGACAAACGCGGATTATTTTGAATGTGCTCAGTGCAAAAGTGGAAAGAGACTCAACAAGCAATTCAACATTGAAGTGAAATTAGTAAGCAAGAGACTGCAGGGATTACTAACCGCTCTGAGTTGCTTCACAGACTCGTATAAGGCCTTCTTTGGCACACAAATCACAATTGCATAATAGTCAATCGATACTTTTCCATCTTGTTTACAGTAAACTGGGCTTATTGTTGGTCCCTGCTCATTACAAGAGAAGCCATAAACAATCAGTGGGGAACGCTACAGCCAAATCTTCAGAACTCCCCACCATTCTGAAACATTACCTGCAGTCCTGACAATGATGGTTGGCTCAACACGCGGTCAGCCACTTCCTGAGCACTATTTCCTCTCATGTTCGCAACAACCTGAAATGAAAATATTAGAGAAAAGAAAGTGAAAGTAGGGAAAAATCATCACAAGAACAAAGTGCGTACAGTGAACTGGCCATCTGCCTTCAGATGGGCCTCCAATCTCTCAAGAATCTCGTGTACTGTGTTTAACGCTCCTTTTCTGTCGGTCAATGCTCTTCTGCTTGCCACAAGTACCGCCTGAATGTTTTCAAAAAAAATGTTCAGTAATAATGATCACTAAATAGATTCTATGCAGATTCCAGTAACTTCACATTACCTGACTTTCCAGCACAACCCCTCCTTCAATCTCTTTTAAGTTATTCTCTTTGAGTGTTGTCCCACTACTCACGAGGTCCAAAATAGCATCAGCTATACCCATCTAATTAACAAGAAAAATATATGTCAACAAATACTCCACAAAAGAATCATGTCTCAGGCAGCAGGCTAGAATAATCTTTCACGTCACAGCCTAATAGTAAGATACTGAATCAGGACATTACAAGCTTAACGAGATTATCCTCCAAAACAGCACATCAGCTTAACAATTTCATAAAAAGATGGCAATTCTACGTTCAGACTAGAGGAATAACCTCTGAACATACAACAAAGGTTAAAGATAGCAACCATGTAGATTGATCTAACACATTACTAGACAGGAAAAAATCATGAATATGCAGCAAACTTTAATTTCATACATTCTCATCAAAATGTTGACTACAATGGCTTAGATGAAAATAGAATAATCTTACCGCCGGAGCTGCCTCCAGAGCTCCGTCTGCAGTTGAAAACGCCACATGCTTTATACCATTTTTTTCCATAAATTTGGGGCCGAGCTGCAGAAACCAGTTGAATCACTCCCAATATTATTTTGAAGCTAAAAATACATCCTGAGAGAAAATTAATTACAACGGCGCACCAAAAGGAGAATCTGTAACTCATCATACATAAGTGAAGCCAGTGGCAACGCGCAATGGTCTCTCCTCACTCCATTGTGGCATTTCTGCTAGCTCCTTCAGAGAATTTATGTTCTCAAAAATCCCATAGTTGGGTATCTGAGATCATTCAAGACGCAATAAGATAACAATTTGCGGTAATGATACACAATAGATAAGAGCATACCGCAATGGACAGATGGCAGTCTCCAAAGTTGAGTGCTTCGTGGACAATGATAAGATCTTCATTTCCCTAAAAAAAATTCAAACATCTAAATAAAGATGCAAACGAGGCCTTCCATAGTCAAGAGAATCACAGGGATAACTCTATATCCTAAAACCTGTAGCCTAACTCAATATTCAATAACATGGCTAGCTAAAGTCAAATAAATGGAACAAGAGAATGAAAATCAAAAAGCTCTGAACATGATATCAAAGCTCTTCTAAGATAAAAAAACCATAATGGTGGTGATATTTACCTGACCGTATTCACTAAGAGTGTCAAGGCCAACGATACCAAGATCAAGATCTCCAGAGAGTAACTTCCTAACAATATCTTTTGGCCGCTGAAACCAGACTTCAGTGTTTGGTAACTGGAAGACACGAAAACATCACCAATATAAGCCTCATCCACTATACACAAAAAAAAAACAGAAAAACACACAAACTATTGACTTAAGTTGGGTTCGAATGCACACACCTGTGGAATTTGCGCAACGTATTGCCTAGGATTGACTTGTTTGACAAACAATTGACAGTCCTTCACAAAAGTAATAAACAAATAGGAAGATTCAGAACCAGCAACAATATTACAAATCACAATGTTTACTTCACAAAAAAAGAAGAAAAAAAATGTTTACTTCACAAAAAGAGGAAAAAAAAAAGAAAACTTTTAGTGTATAGAAAGAGATGACAATACAAAAGTAACATAACCACAAGAATAAACAGCTTTTAGCTTTCACGAAAATAAGCCAAGGATTCAATCTTTAAAGACACCAAAGCGTAACACTCAAATCTCTTTTAAGAGATTATTTTTTGTGACCATACAAAAACAGAGTAAAGCTTTAAAAACCATACAAAGAGAAGTTATTTGCAAAAAACAAAACATTTTATTTTCAGTTTATTCTCTCACTTTGAGAAGATCGATCGCATCGGCGGCCATGCGACCCTTACTAGGGAGACCGAGGCGAATCTGGTCTCGCTCGACGACGACGGCGGCGGGGGCGGAACCGTTGGCGACGGCGGATTGAACGGAGGCGACAGAGGAAGTGACGAATCTGAGGCATTTACGGCGAGTTGGGAGGAAGGAGAAGGAGAAGGCGGTGTGAGGCGACGGGGAGAGGAGTGGAGTGGAAAGGGAGAGGGAGGGAGAAGGGTATTGTGGTAAATTTGTGGGAAGAAGGATAGACATTGTTGTTGTGGTGGTGAGAGTGAAAGAAGGGAAGGTGGCTGCGGAGAGAGTCCAGATGCTGATTTCAGATTCTTTGATGCCTCAAGGCTCTAGGAAATTTTATGTTTTGGATCTCTTATGTATTTTGATTTATTCAAATCATTATTTTCAAAATGAAAAGTATATGTTGACAAAAAAATTAGAAATATACAAAATGGTTTATTTAAGAGAAATTTGATTTGTGAAAAAAGAGGAATTTGATTCAATAACACAAAATCTACAGAAATGTTTTGTTCAAGAGAAATTTATTCAATAAGAACTAGGGCTGGGACTTTTATCTGAATCTGGATAGGAAAAGCTCGGATCCGTGCAAACAAAATCCGGATCCGGATATCTTAATTTTTAGGTCCGAATATCCAGATTCACATCTGTATTTTTTAAAATTGATTAAAAATTTTTATTTTATTATTAATTATATCTTATATATTAATATTTATATATAAATAAGTTTACAATATTCTATTGTAATATTAATAATATTATATGTCATATATATTCATAAATTATGCATAAATATTTAATTTCTGTATTATTTAAAAAAAAATTTACTTATTTTTACGGACACAAATCCGAATCCGGATATCTGCGGATATCATAATATCTAGACGGATATCCGGAAGACATGAATCCGGATCCGAATACTTCAAATTTCATGGTATCCGAATCCATCCCGGCCCTAATAAGAATATCTCATTTTTATCATATGATTACTTTTTAATGTCTTCTCTAAGTTGTAATTCATCCTATAAACAAATTGTCTTGTCACGGATCGGAACAAAACTTTTTTTAATCAGGTCAGATATGCGCGAGTTGCAGTCTCCGGAATGGCTGCTCAGACCCATCCAATTATATGTACAAGTCTTAGCGGACTGGTGTACGGGACAGGTCATAATAAACGCAGCAAAACGCTTCAAATTACTTTGCGACATGATTAAAATCATCGATTAACTAAATATACTTTATCAGTCATGATTTGATTATTTTTTTATTCAAAACAATAGTTATAGTTACTTTTTCATACCAAATAACATATTAACAGACCAAGTAAAAATAATTGCAGAAGATATTTTTTACTTACTCTATTTCAAAATAATACATGTTTTAAGTTTTTCATACTTATTAGGAAAAATATTAAAATTTAGTTATTAATGGATAATTTTTTTGTCATTTTATATTTCCCATATTTTAAAAACAATAAGATTTCAAGAAATGTAATTAATGTTTTTGAAATTTACAATTTTCATTATTAGTTGAGAAAAAGTGCACCGAAAATCTAAAAAAATACATCTTTTTGAAACACAAGTTTTTTCTAGAATATGCATCTTTTTGAAACAGATAAAGTATTAGCTTATCATTCATAAGATCACAATCAATGATTTAGTTTGTTGAATCCAAAAATTAAATAAAATCAAACACCAAATCAAATCTGTCAATTTTAAATTAAATAAAAATAGAAAACCAAATAAAAACACCGCTTTTACCAAAAAAAAAAAAATCAAAACATCACCAAAGCTCAAATCGTCATTGCCGAAACTAGTGTCGTTATCACCGGACGAATCATCATCCCCGAAACTCGAATCATCATTATCGGAGATCCTTACGTTTTCTCAGAGAAAATCACATGAATCGTCTTTTTCGATTTTTCAAGTAAAACAAAAGATGAAGAAAATAACATGTGGATTCTTGTAATCCCTCATGATCCGTTGCGATTCATCCCATAAAAAAACTAAATCCTACAAAGACCTGTCTTGCAATGTCCACAAATTTATAGACTTAGAAAACCTCGTCCTAATATTTTTCCACGATAATTACTTACAGGTCAGACCCACGGTACAAATTCATGATTGCCATCTCTAATTCAGATATATTCTAACGATTATTCAACCTAAAATCTGACTATTCTTGTAACACCTGCATTTTTCAAAATAATAAAATAAATAATAATCTCTAAAACTCCATTTATTAATTCTCATAAAACGTCTCCAACACTATAATGCCAATAAATAAACTAAATCCAAAAAAATGACGACAACACCATGCAGCGGAAGTATGAAAATAGCGAAAATGAAAATAACTCCAAAACACCGATCCGAAGTGAATCACTCATACTCATCAGTCTCACATGGAAGAGGGAAATAAAGAGGGATGAATAACATGAGAGTCACTCAATCAGGTATGGGATGATAGACACGCAAACCACTAACTCAAGTCAAATAGAACTCCCTCTATGAAAGTTTAGCTCTAATATGAACAAACAAGACGCCTAGAGCACCCGCCCCCCCCAAAACAACCATGCGAGGATAACATACAACTAATCCATACACCCCACATACTCCTCATAAGGATATATATACACGAAGCGTTGCTAGTACAGCCTGTCTATGTACCCCCGCCCAACCGTAGCGTTGAATGCAAAAGTCTCTGCACCACGCCCCAAACAGTAGCCTCGGAGCTCAAACGTCTCTGAACTCACGCCCACATCGTAGTGTCGAAGCCCGCACGTCGCCGAACTCACGCCCCACACATAGTCCCTACTCATAACTATGTATAGGTACGTATTTTATATAGCATCACTTAGCGTCAAACAATCCAATCCATATTTGAATCCTCTAGACCCTACTTCCGGTTACAATGAATGAACTAACTACCAAACAAGACTCAGACAGACTCAATCCAACCAGACGGATCATGCTTTGAAATCAAAATCGATAGAAAGAATTTTTTACACTACTACAGGATTTACGGAATAGACCCTCACCTTTCCCACGAGTTCTAAAGAAAATCTGAGAAAACACCAAATGACCATGGCATCTCTAAAACAGCACTCTGGAATTCTCTAGAAATAGATAAATGTGATGATTCTGGCAGAACTGAACCCTAGAGATAACAGATCAAAAACTCAAGAACTGACCGTTAACTTTTCAATCCCTCCGGTCAGAATGTATTCCTAGACGTCCTTTGTCCGTAGACACCGAGTTTACTCCGATCGGACACCATTTGATTAACCAAAATAGCTTCATCTTTAGGCTGGTTGCAAACGCATACTGCACCAACACCTCTCAGGAAAATAAGCATAACTTTCGGCCTCAATACTCTAGCTTCGAATCCCCACAGCTGCAAACATTTTCCCGGGCCACGAGGGTATTCACATGGGCTGCTCTCGCCCTCCAAACCACTTCGCGTAACCAGGGGTCCTTAAGTGGAGGCTTAAAAATCCTGTAATGGCATGGGCTTAGGCCCGGTGGGCAAGTCGATCACGCTTAGTGGTCGGATACTGGATTATTAAAAAATAAGCATAACTCTCACAAAATAATTTGGAATGACGATCCATTTATTGGAGATGATAGATAAAGTAATTATCTCCTTACTGACCATTTTCCAGACTGAAACTTTGTTTCTGTTGACTTTTCTTCACTTACACTGCAACTGGTACGAACTGACTCTGCAACACAACAGTTTAATTATCGCCAAGAAGAAACGTCAATAACTATGCAACAATACCTCGGTTTACCACTCCAGAAGATGATATGGAAATCTGACGACGAGATCTTTTCAATGATATCTTTCTCGTTTCCGGGTTCCTTTTAGATCAGCAGGAAAACACTGATTTACTTGATTGTTGGCAGATCCGATCTACAGCAAACAATCTCAAAGAAACAACCATAATTATTAGAGAAAAACTTCAAATGATGATCCGTTTTCTTATAAACATAGATCTTCGAGTGTAAAACAAAACCTCAAAATTTGGCTTCGAAATTTCTAGATTGATTGATCGTTCTTTTGTTCTCCCAAAACGTGTCTGCCGAGCCTTAATCTCTCTTTAAAAAGGAAGAGTTTAGGGTTTTCTGCCACATTAGTGGGACTAGCCGGGCCGAATTAACCCACTTGGATACAAAGAGTAAGTACATTTTTACCACCATACCACTTGAACCCAGATTGGATACAAAGAGTAAGTACATTTTTACCACCATACCACATTATGTTTTATTTATTCCCTTATATTATAAATATATATAGTATTTTTATATTAAAATACGATAAATATTTATAAAATTAACTTTTTATTGATTCGAACTCTTGTTGGATTGACGAATATTTAAGCGTGTAAATACCAGACCATTTAAATTAACATATTATATATTCTGTATATATATTTTTTCTTTATATATTAAACGGGTATCCGGAACCGAACCGAAACCGAACCGAAACCGAACTGGAACCAAACCAAAACCGAACCGAAATCTCATAAGTACATATTTGGTATAAGAAGGATTTATTCGATATAACCGGAACCAAATGGTTCCTATTCTGAACCGAAGTGAATATTCAAAGGCCCATGCCTAGTCGATACAAAGCCTGAAACTCCCATCTTTCTTCTTCACAAACAATACCGGTGCTCTCCACGGTGAAGTACTCGACCTGGTAAAAACCTTATCTGATAGTTCGTCCAACTATTTTTCTATTCGGCTATCTCTGCTAGCGCAACTCGATATGTAGCTCAGGAAACTAGTAATGTCCCTTGTCCAGCTCAATAGTGAAATCATCTCCTCTGGCTGCTAGTGGCTCCTTTAGGTCCCTAATTCTCCGCAACCACTAGACTATCCTACAACTGCTGCTGGCCATCATCCTTGATCAATGAAATGGTTGTTAAAAATCCATAAGCTCTTCTCTGTCAAAACTCTGACAAAATTAATCCCCTCAAGTACGACTGATATATCTTGATGAATGTCGACAACTCTCAATCTCTCTACCAGGTCCCTTAATCGCCATCCCGGGTCGGAGCCGGGACGGAACCTGCTCTGCTACCAAATTGTAACACTTGAATTTTTCAAAATAATAAATAAATAAAAATCTCTAAAAATCCATTTATTAATTCTCATAAACTGTCTCCAACACCATAATGCCAATAAATAATTTTTAAATCAAAAAAAAAATGACGATAACACCATGCGGTGGAAGTCTGAAAAATGAAAATAACTCCAAAACATTGATTCGAAGCGAATCACTCATACTCATCAGTCTCACATGAAAGAGGAAATTAAGGATGGGTGAGTAACAGAGAAGTCACTCAGTGATGTATAGGATGCTAGACACGCAAACCACTGACTCAAGTCAATAGAACTCCCACTATGGAAGTTAGCTCTAACATGAACAAACAAGACGCCTAGAGCGCCCCACAAAACAACCATGCAATGATAGTATACAACTAATCCATACCCGCCGCATACTCCTCATAAGGATATATATATACACGAAGCGTCGCTAGTACAATCTGTCATTGAACCCCCACCCAACCGTAGCGTCGAATGCAAACGTATCTGCACCACGCCCTAAACAGTAGCGTCGAAACTCAAACGTCTCTGAACTCACGCCCCACATTGTAGCGTCGAAGCCCGAACATCTCTGAACTCACGTCCCACACATAGTCCCTACTCATAACTATGTATACGTACATATTTTATATAGCATCACTTAGCGTCAAACAATCCAATCCATGGCTGAATCCTCTAGACCCCTAGTTTTGGTTACAATGAATAAACTAACTAACAAACAACACTCAGATAGACTCAATTCAACCAACGGATCATGCTTTGAAATCTTAATTATGATAAAAAAAAATTCTACACTGGTACAGGATTTACGGAATAGACCCTCACCTTTGCCACATGTTATAAAGAAAACCTGAAAAAATACCAAATGACCATGGCAGCTCTAAAACAACACTCCAGAACTCTCTGGAAATAGATGATTGTGATGATTCTGGCAGAACTAAACCCTAGAGATAACAAATTAATAACTCAGGAACTGACCGTTAACTTTTCAATCCCTCCGGTCCGAATGTATTCCTAGACGTTCTCTGTCCGTAGCCACCAATTTTACTCTGATCGGACACCATTTGATTAACCAAAATAGCTTCGTCTTCAGGTTGGTCGTAAACGCAGACTGCAACAACACCTCTCAGGAAAACAAGCATTAGTTCGGAATGACGATCCGTTTATTGGAGATGATAGATAAAAGAATTAACTCCTTACTGACAAATTTCCAATCTGAAATCTTTGTTTCTATTGACCTTTCCTCACTTACACTGCAACTGGTACGAATTGACTCTGCAACACAACAGTTTAATTATTGCCAAGAAGAAATGTCAATAACTATCCAACATTACCTCGGTCTTCCACTCGGGAAGATGATATGGAAAGCTGACAACGAGATCTTTCCAATGATATCTCGCTCGTTTCCTGCTTCGTTTTAGATCAACGAGAACACACTGATGAAATTGACTGTTGGCATATCCAATCTAAAACAAACAATCTCAAAGAAATAATTATAACTATTAGAGAAACCTCCAAATGATGATCTGTATTCTGATAAACATATATCTTCGAGTGTAGAACATAACCTCAAAATTTGGCTTCGACATTTCTAGATTTGATTGATCGTTTTTTTGTTCCCCAAAACATGTCTGCTGAGCCTTAATCTCTCTTTAAAGAAAAAAAGTTTAAAGTTTTCTACCACACTACTAAACTTAGCCGGACCGAATTAACTAGGCTGGATTTTGGATCGTTACAATTTTGTTCTAATTACCTAAATTCTATACTTTTTTATTCTCCTCTTTTCCATCAATGATTTTCTTGAAACTCTTTATTTTTTCTTTTCATCTTAAATCAAAATTAAATAATTCATTATCATCTCCAAGTCATCATCTATCATCTGAAATTGAATTCCATTCCCAACGCCGTTGAAATTCAAGACAGCGAATAAGATGCAGTACAGCTCACACATACAATTAGTACAATTAGAATAAGTACAACTTTTCTTGTCATCAATAAGTACACTATAGTATAGAATTAGTATAACTTAAACACGTACAGTATAGAAAATATCATGATCAATTTTACGATTGGTTTGTTAACTTCATAAATTCTTGTGGTTATCTCACCTAAAATGCCTTTTGGGAAACGGTATACTCTCAAAAAAATATGTAACTCAAACCCCAAGAGTTTTGTATTACTAGCTTATACTTAACAGTTTTGTTTGTACTTTGTAATAAAGGTTTGATGTTTGCTAATGTCGTGTGTTGGGTTTATAAACGAACCTCAACCTTGTCAGTGGGCATTTTCTAATAACATGGCTTGTGGACGTTAGAAATACGCAGTGAGGAAAAAAACTTTTGTTTTAGAACGACTGAAACAATCGAATACTATGGTAATTTACTAATTGTTCTCAGTTCACTAACCACCAATTAAATATATTATCTTGAATGTAAATAATCGATGCTGAGGTTGCATGTTAATAGTTATAAAATTCACATGCGTCGATGATACCCATGACTCCAACCACAAAGCTCATATAAGTTTCAATAGGGAAAGCACCCAACAAAAAAAGATCTCAAATGTGTTTTGATTGTACTTAATAATCAATTCAGGAGTTGAAAATAGAGAAAATCGCGGTTAAATGCAACTCTCGTACGATTTTTCTTATTTAAGCGTGCAAAACTAATCCTAGATAATAAATAAAAGATGTGTTCAAAAAAAAAAGATAATAAATAAAAGAAACACAGAAAGAAAAAAAAATCACGGGTCCTATCATTCCTCCTATACAAATGAAAACATTCTCTTCTCATGAAACAATTCATTCACACACAAATTCTTCTCTAAGACTACTAGTACTACAACAACACACACAAACCTCACAACAAATAAATCAAACCTCACAACAAATAATCAAACCGCTAACAAACGTTTAAAATTAAAACTCTTACCAAATTAAACGCTTCATCATAAGATTAGTTTACATCAATCACCCATCACTATTCGAATTCTCATCTCTACTATCATCATCCTGATCACTCTGTTGCGTCTGCTGCTGCTGCTTCTCTTGATGTTCCACCCCACTGTTCACTTGTTCCGCGTTTGCGTTTGTGTTTGCGTTTCCACCTCTCCCATAAGCCGCGTTCAAAGCAGCTAACACCCCAAGATTCGAGTCCGGCATACTTAAACCTATATTCTGATTCGGTTGCTGCTGCTGCTGCGGCTGATGAGCTAAGAAAGAACCTAACTGAAGTGGACTCCCTCTGTACTGATCCATCGGAAAACTAAACCCCGTTCCCGCCATAAAATGAGTCCCACCTCCTCCAGCTCCGAACGGCCACATATGCGCACGGTTAGTGTTGCTGCTGCTCTCCATAGCGACTGTCTGATTCCCAGCGGTGGTTGGTGGCACCGGAAGCATCCAAAACGTGTTCCCACCGGCTGACCTATTCGTCGGAGCAACCGCCCACATCGGCGCCGCCGTGGCGGCCGCCGGAGATTCACTTTCCTTCTCATTCTGCTTCCCATCTTCGCTTTCCTTATCCGATCTATACCGTTTCCTCGAGAAACCCTCCCCCTCGGGACCCAGACCCCCTTCCGGGGGAGGAGGAGCCTGTTGATGATGATGCTGCTGCTGCTGGAGTTGGTGATGAAACCCTAAAAGCGGAGGCGTAAACGCGCCTCCCTGCTCCTCGTACTGATGATGAGTCAGTCCGAGGGCGCCGTATAGAGGCACAGACTTCCCCGCCGGAGGAGCGGAGAGAGTCGATCCGCTGCTCCGGAGGGAGACGCTCAAGGATGAGAAGTTCGCCGGGATGGTTCCGGTGCCTGTAGCGGCGACAATCGCCGGCTCGGCTTGCTGGAGAAGCCACTCGATGGTTTCTCCGTCGGATTTGTGACCTAGCTCTCTCGTTAGCTGGAAAACCCTGGCGGCGCAGAGCGCCGGCATCCTGATTCGCCGCCCTCTTCCGTCGACTTTCGTGTGACGGTCTTTTGTTGAACGTTTTGTTACGGTTGTGGAAGAAGTAGTCGCCGTGGCGGTGGCGGTGGATGAGGTCGTGGCTTCGTCTGGAGGAGTAGATCTGGGGACGATTGAGAGAGAAGGGTCGAGTAGGTGGCGAGAGGTTCCTCCTCTGGCGGCGGCGGTGTCGGAGAGATCCATTTTGGTATTTGATTGAGAAGGGAGAAAGAAAGGAAGAGGATTTGGGAATTAGGGTTTGGAGAAAGAGAAAGAGAGAGAAACGGACATGGATGGTAGGATTGTCGACTTCATATCGCTTCTCTGTGTTTTGACTCTTGTCTTGTTCCGAACAGAGAGAGAGAGAGAGAGAGAGGATGAGAAAAAGGGTTTGATGATGTAAAAGCAGGTGGTAGACTTTTCCAGCAAGTGGTATTTTTAAAAAATTGAAAATCCTTTTTTGCCGTCATTATAATAATTAATCATTTATTAATTAGATTATTGTCATATTAAAGTAGACGAAATTAATTAGGAAAGAAATGGGTGAGGAAAGAAAAACGTATTTAAAACACTCCCACTCCACGAAAATGACTTGACCTTTCGTATTATTTTATATCATTTTTACATAAATTCACCAAAATCATCATAATCATGTTGAAATATATTAGATCTTAAACCACTTCAAATGGTTGGTTATAATTCATTTTTTGTTGGAGGTGATTTTACACTAACCAATCCCGTGACGGCATGTTATCATTGATATCTTTTTTTTGGGTCAAAATTCGTTGATTTTATTTAAAGACCATCTAATCCATGGGGAAAAAAGGACACAAGCAAAGGTTTATAGAAGAAGATCCACTACATCATATGATCATCGAGTATGTTGTGAATACATGCACGGAGAAAATGCTTGGGTTTGTTCTCCATGATTAAGTGACAACGACAATGGACTTTGCAATAACCTATTTTCAATCTGTGAAAATAGCCTTGAACCTATTTTCAGTCAAAAAGAGATTTTTTTTACACATTAGGTGAATTAGTGAGTGTTTGAACAACAGAAGGATAGCCTTTTGAGATTCTTTTACACATTAGGTGAATTAATGAGTGTTTGAACAATTTCCATTTAGTTATATTTGTGGAAAACGCAATATTTTTAACTCTATTTAACCGGATGTTTTATTTCTGGAAAAATATTTTTAAAATAAAATATTTAATCGAATGTTGTCTTTCCAACAACGTGGCTACAAAAAAAAAATATGAATTACAAATTTACAAGTATTCAGTCCCAACAAATGTTTAATAATTTTGTCAAAACTGAGAGAGAACAGATGAGCATCTTTTAGACAGTGAAGCGTGCGTATTTTTGCAGGTGGGGACAGCTCATTCCAACCCACCTCCGTATCTCCATTTCACCTTTATCTTTGATATTATTAGTTATATAAAGACTACTCAGTTATTTAAGAGTTTTTGTTTCATTTATTGAAGAGTTGGTTACAATAAAAGGTATTTGAAGCAAAAAAATTACATGATTAGGCATATTTTATGACAATCGCATTATATCCTCCTAACTAATCACTTGTAAATTGTAGTCCATCGGGTCTCCTCTCTTAAAACCCACCTTTGCATGAAATTTAAACCAACTCATTTTTAGTCCATCTTTTTTTTTGTTATTATTTCCTATATATATATATATATATATAAATAAAATCAATTAATTTAAAGAAAAAAACAAACGAATACAATATTGTAAAATCGAACTTAATTTTAAAATTCTAGACCAAAAACAGTGAAAGAAGCAAGAAGTACATAATAAGTACCAAGACAAATTCTGAAGCAAACAATATCTCGACGCTTAAAAGAGCTTACAACAGAGAATGTCATCAACTTTACATGAAGCATTCACTCGAAGGGGATGCACCATTTTACCAGTAACATAAAATACAAACAAACAAACAGTAGATATCATAGTACAACTCCACATATCGGTGTTACTAATTTGCTAGGGTTTGATACATTCGTCCCATATCACAAGTCGCTACAACAATCACCAGGTAAATGAAGTCCAGGTGTCTGATCTTCGAAATAAACCACCTCAGGCAAGACATCTGCTGGAACTAATAACGGTTTTCAGTAAACGGAGAAAGTGATGATGACCAGTTAAAACATGTGCGGTGAGGGAGGTTTACGAGACAGTAGATTAGGCCCTGATCTTGTTGAAACGACAGGACCTTAAGATCTAATGAACCAGTGGGTAGAGAGACTCACTGACTAAAAGTGAAACTGACTCTGCACAGATACAGAGTCACGGTTAGAGTTGGAATCCTTGCTGTTCAGGGAAAGACTTGAGAACTGAGAGTCAAGATCTTTGCTAGTGGAACGTTTGTGACTTGCTGCTGGTTGTTGATTTTGTTGTTGCTGCTGCTGTTTCTGCTGCTGCTGCTGATACAGAGCACGTAGTCTTCCAATCTCCTTTTCCAACAGCTCCTGTTCCACTGGAGAATAGAGAGAACTAATGAATTGTGTAGTAAATATATGATAATACTTCAAAACTCATACATCGGATTAGAGAAATTTACTTTGTTTGATCAGCTTCTCCTGAGCTATACTTTCTAGTCGCTGCTTAAGAGCTTTATTTTCCATACTCAGAATAAGATTCCTCTGATTGAGAAAATCAAGATCAGCTGAAAATTTTGAACCTTCTGCCTATAGTTACCAAGGAAAACATACTTTAGTCTCTCCAAAATTGTAATCTAATTCATCTTTCTAGAAATTATTTTTTTAGTATTACCTGCAACGCTTGTACAGTCCTTTCTAGTTCAGATATGTACTGGAGCTTACGGACCCGTGATCGTTGTGCAAATTGCCTGTAGGAAGCCACAGTTAACCATGCTATAATAATGGGAAACATAGACAATGTCATAGTTATTAGTAAGACCAGTTAAGAAGGAGTAAAGCGATGACATACTGTTTGGCTCGTCTTGTATTGTCAGCGTCACAAGTCACAGGCTGAGCATTTGAGTTTTTCTGCTCAGGAGAGAACTTTTTAGCGTCATGGGAAAGATTTTTGGCGTAGTTCTTCGTCTCTGTTGCTTCTTGAGGCATATATGATGAAGCTCCCATGTGTTTTCCACCAACACTCTCTCGAGTGAAAGGTAGCCAAGAAGGACGAGCACCAGGAGGTGCCACCAAAGAATCCCTCTGTCGATTCGTCTGATTCAAAAAATTAGAATCAGAGTAGAAGGCAGCAGCCCCCTGAGCATTTTGGTTCCAATCAAGCTCATGAACCCCTCCTCTTTGAGAGGAAGAAGAACCTATATTCCTATAGCTAAAATCGTTTTGGAGAGTCAAGCTAATGTTTTTAGCATTAGCCATGTCTAGGTAAGCGTAAGAATCACTAGATGAACGCCGATGACCGCATTTGCGAACAGGGCTCTCTGGCTCATTGAGAAGATCATCAAGCCACAAGGGAGGCTCTTCTAACAAATCGCTCTCAGAGGAAGTCCGTTGGTGATGGTGGTGGTGCGTTTTCTCATCGCTAAGCTTGTGACCGTGCCTTGAACCAAGAGGAATATACTCGGAGTATGGTGCTGATACGCTGGGAAACGGAATCTTTGGAGGGAGCAAAGCATTTTTGCCTGGGTACATCACGTCTTTAACATTCTGTGATCCCTTAGAGCTAGCCATTGCTCTGTCCTAACATCACCATAAAACACAAAGCTTTCTTAAAATCAGATCTGACTATTTAAAACCATTGCATCAACCACACAAAGCAATTTCCTTTTAAGCTTATAGCGTAAACATAACTAAAATGCTCATAACATTAATTGTTCAATGCAGAAAAAAATCTTAAAACAGCATTACTACTTATGTTCAATGAATTCTCCACAAAGTTTTTTTTTTTTTTGGAAATAAAAAGCTGACATTACAAGACACCGAAATAACCAGACAAGACCAGCTCATTAAGTTGCTGTCTCATTACGCTAGATTAACAACCACACTTTGTTTTCAGACACATCAAAGTGATTACAAGCTCTCTTAATCAACTAAATCGTGAGTAATTTTTTTCCCATTTTTTAGGAGTCAAACAATCAATCAAAGGCAAAAAGAATAAAAAATCAACAAAAAGTAAGTGAAATCTAGAAATTATAATGATGAATAGATGCAAGATTCGTCATCCATTTCCAGATAAACCGATTCTATTTTTCAAAACAAAAGAAATGAAAGAAAACTAACCAAACCAGTCGGAGAAATCGAGGATTGAGAATGGATCCGAATCGGAGGGGTTTGGTCCGTACAAGAAGGTCGTTGGTTGGGTGGTGGAATCTGTAATAAAAACTCTGTTGCCTATCTGTCTCCTTATCGTGGGGAGATTGGAGAAGAATCGATTTTGACTCTCTCTCGAGATGAGAGAAATTTTAGTTCTGGCAAAAAGGAAACCAAAGGCTTTCTCTCGGCCTCTTTTATTTTACCTTTCGGCCCTTTTATCTCAGGCCTTTTCCCTTCATTTTTGCTATTTAAAAATCGTCCCTACTACTTTTATCTTATTTACTTTTACCCCGATGTTCTCATTGTCGCGGTTTTGTGATTCAAATACAAAGGAAGGACTGGTGTTCAAAAAAAAAAATACAAAGGAAGGACTAATACCATTATTTAAAAATTGGAACACACATGAAACCGGATATGCCTTTGGGTTACATGATGTTTGTCAAACTGGGAAGACCACGATCAAGTAAACCCGTCTCGATCGGTTCGCGTTTTGATTTAGGCCTATAACGTGACACATTTAGAAGACATCTGATTTTGGTTTATTCGGGTTATTTCGATTCAGGTATTTTTGTTTTCGGTTTATTCGGTTCGGTCCTTCCAAAGTGAACCAAAAAATCGGTTCAGTTTGGTTTTTAGATAATTTCAGTTTTTAATTTTATATTCAATTTTTTTTTTAATTTTCAATTCGGTATAATTTTATTATTTGCTAAGAAATCAGATAATTTCAGTTAACTTTGTTTTTTTCGCTACTGCTAACATGCATTTTTAACATCTAGCTTACATACTGGACATGAGTATGAAACAACGACACCAAGAACTGCATGTTTTGTTAGTTGATTTTATCATTGTGCTGGCCGTGTTAGTGAAGTCAACTTTAGGTTGCTGGTGATAATCCTTTGCAGACAAGGCATGTCTCGACAAGGCATGTCTCATGCATGGTCAAATCCTAAATCAAGTTAACAAAACATTCGCCTTAAATCCCTAAACTTTTTGAAAAGAAATTAGATAAAAACTCCCAAAATTTTCTTTACTCTCAAATTTGTAAAAAGAAAAATTTAATTTAAATAGTTCATAAATCATCTATGACCCTATAAATTTCAGAGCCGGCCCTGGTCCTATGCCATTTAAACTTTCCGCCAGCCCGCAACTTGTTCTTGAACACTAAGTGTTCCACTGGAAATTCACATCTTCCTATGTAAATCATGTTTTATGTTAAAATCACAAAATGCGACATACCGCCAAAATTAAAAAATCAAGTTTTTCATAAAAAATGCAAAACTATATTTTTCTGCCAAAATCATAATATCACTTTTTCCGCTCAGACCGCAATACATGTTCTCTCTCCAATACAGTAAAAACTTGTTTTTTCACCAAACCGTAAAATCATATTTTCCACCAAAAATATTAAATTAAGTTTTCCACTAAAATCGTAAGATCAAAATTTTGCCAAAACAGTAAAATTGAATTTTTCACAAAAAAATTATTATAATGTTACAAATATAATTTAGACATATTTATTCAAATATAATAATTAGTTATTAAATATATAGATTATGTTCTTCTTTTTTCTAAGAAATATTTACTCTAGAGAACACATTTTCAGTTTTTAATTACACTAATAGACACTTCATAGATTCAACACACATTCTCCTTGTCAAGTTACTAAGATGTCCCTTAACTAAGTTAATATTTTCTTTAACTGAACTTTCCCTATACTTTTTATTTAGTTAGTTTTCGATTTATTTAAAAAAAAAGTAAAAATTTATGACCTTATCTCTTCAGATCCAGAAAGTCGACCTCATCTCACAAAATAAACGCTAATTCTTTTCTCTTTGTCTCTATTTCTCAATTCAGAATTTAACCTCTCTGCATTCTCTAATCAAGAATCCAAACAGAGACATGGAAGGTTTGTTTTTTTATTCTGCCGCTTTTCTTCGATTTCAATCCGACCACCACTCCACGATCTCCTTTTGTTGCGATTGTTTTCTTCTGCAACACCAAATTTGGCGGAGAACCTGCGGCAAAGCTCTAGAATTTTTGTCTTCTCTGCAACTCATCTTCATCTTTTCTGCAATTTAGAATCAGTGATTGTCTACATCCGTCATAGATCCAAGTCAACAAGATCTCAATAGAATCCACATCCACAACAAGCTCCTCTGTGGCCAGAATGGGAGATGGAAATCTTTGTAATAGATGCTCTGTTTTGGATTGGTGGATAGAGACAAGAAGAAGAAGAGATGTTTGATTTCAAATAAAAAAGATACGAGACTGAAACTTGTGGTTACAGTGGTGATGGATACGATGGTGGTGGATACAGTGGTGGTGGATACGATGGTGGTGGATACAGTGGTGGTTGATACGGTGGTGGTGGATACAGTGGTGATGGATACAGTGGTGGTAGTTACGGTGTTTTTTCTCCTGCTTCCTAAAGTTCTCTGATGGTGATTGAAAACTCTTATAAGATCCTATGTTAACTCTTCTTTTATCTTCCTCTCTTATGTATGCAAAAATCACATACATTATTGTTTTCACATACATTGTTGTAGCTAGCTCAAAGTCTTCTCAATTGGTTTAGTAATCAACCTTGTAGGAATAAATATCTTGTCCATGCAATCTCGTCCACGTAATTCCATCCACGCAATCTCGTCCACGAATTGTTATCCATGAAAATTCTTTGATGAACTTTAAAGGATTACCTAACCTATGACTTATTTTTATATATATATATATATATATATATATATATATATTTACTATCTACATCTCTCCATAAAATAGATGGTCATTCATAAAACATCCATCCACAAAACCTTTTTTACACTAGCATATCCTATCCACCAAAACATATACATATACACCACAGAATATGTACTTCCGTCCACAAGATCACATCCACAAGATCACATCCACAAGATCACATCTACAACCGACAGTTCTCAACACACTTACCCACATATTCTAACCATTAGATCTTGTGCTTTTAATCAGACCTACCGTCCAAAAATAATTATCTTTCCCCAATAAACCTACTTTTACTTTATCATTTATTGTAGCCGAACGATAGCTAAATTAACAAAACTCAAACTTTTTTCTTGCCTCTTTAATCCCAATACAGTTCTCTTTAAGGAAGGTTATATCTGTCACAAAAAAAGATAGGTGTCCAAAGAAAGTGTGTCATATTGACATTGTGTCTTTTAGAGATAACAAACTCCTTATTGTGTCTATTACTGTAACTCTCTCTTTTTCTAACCAATAGTATTCAAATATTACTATAATATTAAAAAAACGAACAACTTAACCTTTAGATGTTGTATCTAGCTGCAAATACAAACTACAACTATGAATATATTTTGATATTACATCCATATGTTGTATTCAAATGCTATATTAGATATTGCAACCAAATACAAAAACTAAGAACACCTTAATGGTCAAAACTTTGATAGTTGATGGGCTGTAATATTCTAACTTCCGATTTGGGTTTTAAGCCTATCCTGTCAGGTCGATTTCGTATGCACATTTGGGGTGTTATATTGATGAGGTTGTTCATTAGTTTTAGGCCTTGTTCTAAAAATCGGGGTCCTAGCATCTAGGCGGTTGCTTAGACACTATAAACATTATTCATCCACTCCAATTTTTACTAAAATGGTAGAAGAACTCTGATGTTTAAGTTTATTTCGTCTAAATGACCGCCTAACTATCTAGAAGACCACCTTTTCTTTATTATATTTTAATAATAATTTTATCTATTTATTGGATCTAAAATTTGATAAGTACAATTTATATTTATAATTTTGATGAAAATTATGCCATATTGTATGTTTTATACAGTTCTAAACATGAAAATGTATTAATATTATACTCAATTAAAGATTAACATGTTTTATAATATATTAAACAATTTTAAAATTCTGCTTCGCATAATCCCTGTTTAATCTCCGATTTTCTCTCTAGGCGCTTGGTCCAATCCGACCATATGATTAGGTAAATATCTATATTATTATTTGAGAATTAAAATCTAGTGATTTGTCATATTCTCCATAATGTTAGGTAAATTTGCTTATTATCATATTCTCCATGATTTTAGATAATTTTGCTTACTTGTCATGTTCTTAGTGGTTTTGGTTATTTTGCTTATTTATCCTATTTTCCATAATTGTAGATAATTTTGATTATTTGTTATAACTAAATAAATTAATTAATATAATAAGAAATTGTCAAAGAAAAATATGAAATATGTGATGAACCCAATGTTTTGTTAGATATGCTATGTTAGAAATAACATGGTGTTTTGATATTACCTAATGATAATCATTATCTAACTTTATTTTATAGAATGTTCTTTACAAAATAGTAATATGATGTTTTGTATATATCTATCAAATCAATCAAAAAATATTATCATTATTTTAATCTTCATTCTTTTTAATTTTTTTCTAAATTAGTATAAACTTTAATTTTTGCTTTGTTTTTAAATTTCTATTTTGTGTTTTTCAAAGTTTGTTTTTGTAGTTTCATGAATATTGTTGATTAGGGGTTGGCATTCGGGTTTGATTTGGATCTATTTAGGTTAAAGATTTCAGCCTCATTCGAGTATTTATAAATTTTGGTTCGGGTTCGGTTTGAGTTTGGTACATGTTCGGATAACCCATTTAAATTATTTTAAAAAATTTAAAATTCATATATACTTTAAATTTCTCTAATTCTAAAAATAAAATGTAGTATGTATGTCAAAATAGTTAAAATTAACATAAAATTAGTTTAGCTTGAATATTTGAATCGTAAATCGATAGATAAGTATTTTTGATGTTTTAAATTTGTTTAGCTACTTTAGATATTTATGTTGACTATTTATATATATATATATATATATATATATTTAATATTTTGGACAACTTCAAATATCTTATACATTTTAGATACATTTTTTTTATTTTAAAACTAAAATAGCTAATATATTCAAGTATATAATATGATTTGGATATATTCGGATACCTGAATTATTTCAGTTTAGATCGGATTCGATTGCGATTCTATACGTACTAAAATTTTGAACATGTTCGGTTATTTAGCATGTTTCATTTTGGATTTGATATTATTTTTTTATCAAATATGGTTCGGTTTTTTTGTTCAACCCTATTGTTGGTTCAAATAGGTAATTTACAAAGGTAATGAGAGGTAAAAAATGAAGCTTTATTTTCTTAGTTTACTTTATTGTATGTTTGATATGCAGTTTATTCTTTATAAAATGCATACATTAATAAATATTTATTAAATGATTAAACATGTATGTGCGGGCAAAACACTATAGAACCAAAACACTATAGAAACGTCATGGTCAATTTGTATTCTTCACGCTCACCCAATAAAACAGAGTCAAAAACAGATACATTATCCACGTTCACATACCAAAAACAGAGTCAAAACAGCTAAGAACTGGAATGTGTTCAGTGATGTGGACAGTCTAATAAAGGGGGGGTGGTGAGGTTACTTTCACAACAAGTCACCACCCCTAATAAATTTAGAGGAAACTATCTTAAAATAGATAGAGGCATGGCGTAAACAAAGGCTTAGACAAAACAGAAAACCCCTTTATATTTTCAATCCAACTCTCTCTCACTTCTTGCGGGACAAAAAAAGAAAAACGTAGGCCTCAAAAACTCACAAAGATCAATTCAAGAAAACCTTCTCTGCTCTCTATCTCTTTTTCATCCCATATGTTGCTTTCTTGAGTTTATCTTAAAGAAAGGGAAGCAACATCTGAGGATTCATTGATTACCAGACATAAACTTACATTTTAAACAAACAAAAACAAAACATATAGTTGTGTTTGTGTCTTAATGATGAAATAGCAGATTGAGAGTAAGAAAAAGGTTTTAACCGCAATGGAGATAGAGAGGATTAGGCAGTTGATGTCCCTTTGGTCTAATTTGAAGAGTAGCCGCGTTTCTCTTACCGGTGGGAATCACACAGCCGCAAGGTTCTGCAACCGCTAGTCTCGCCTTTTCTCTTAACCCTCTCTCTTCTCTCTCTATTCTTCTTTTTCTTTTAATCTCTTTTCTTCTATTCTTATAATTCATTTTAGCTTTTTTCTCTTCTCTTCTCTTTTTTCCTATTAGCTATCAACTTCACTTTTTGGGCACGCTCCCTTTGTCTCATCTTTTTTAAGACATAGCAAAAACAAAGATGGTGTTTGTTAATGTCCAAAACTTTCTCTCTATGTGCCAAAAGAAAGACCGTTCGAGCTACTCTTTTGGCTCTTCGGATTCTTCTCCCAAGGCTTCTCGTTCTGAAGTCTTGAGTCTCTTTATGAGATTAACTCTTTTGGCTTTGTTGTTTCTGTCATTTACTTGGATGAATCTGCTGAAGCATGAAACTGATGCAACCGTTGCATCTAATTTGGTCGAACGTGACCATCATAAGCTATTGCCTTTGCTTCTTAATGACTTAGAGAAGGAAGGTCTCTTTAAACATGGAGATAAGGCACTCCTCCTTAGCGGAGGAGACGATGAGGTCACTGTTGCTTCATACACTCAGAAAATTACAGAAACCGAGGTGGTTTTTGTATCTGCAAGCGATGAGGAGACGCAGCGCATGGTCCCAAGCGAGACATTTGATTTCGCCTTTGCACATTCTCGTCACATTGGCTCTGTTGAATTTCTAGACCGGGCTCTCAAAGTTGGAGGTATCCTCACCATCCAACTCAACCAACATGATATTCCTCCACATTTCTTAAACCATTTAAACTACGAGATAGTCTATTTGAGGAGCAATGACTACACGGTAATGGCCATGAGGAAAACAGAGCAGAAACAGAACATAGGCACCACCGGGAGGAAGCTCCTCGGTATCACGGAAGCAGAGGCCAAGAAAAAAGCTTTGAGTAAGCTAGAAGATGTTCTTCTTGAACCACCAAGAGCAGCTTCAAGAAAATCAAGAACCTACTTGAAACGTACAAGGTATCTCCCGGACCTCATGGGAGATAGTTTAGACCTCGAGAGCTACTCGAGGCGGGTGTTTATCGATGTGGGAGATGGAAAAGGAAGCAGTGGAACAGAATGGTTTGTTAAGAATTACCCAACGAGGAAGCTGAGGTTTGAGATGTACAAGATTGAGACAGTAAACGATGAGATGAGCATGGAATCTGAAAACATGGGGATAACGGAGTGGGTAAAAGAGAACGTGAAGGAGGAGGAATACGTTGTAATGAAGGCAGAGGCAGAAGTGGTGGAGGAGATGATGAGGACCAAGTCGATAAAAATGGTGGATGAGCTTTTCTTGGAGTGCAAGCCAAAGGGTGTAGGGATGAAGGGAAGGAAGATGCAGAGTAAGAGTGGTAGGGCTTATTGGGAGTGTTTGGCTCTTTATGGCAAACTTAGAGATGAAGGTGTTGCTGTGCATCAATGGTGGGGTTGAAGTTAAAGGATAGGGAGACTGACTTGAGATAATGTTCATAAACCAGTCTCTTTTATTCTGTTATATATTTATGTTTTTGTTCTTCCGTTGTCAAATTCTCTTTTCCCTTTGTTAATTATTGTGATCATCAATGTACTGTTGTGATTAAAAGTATTTTGTGATGTTGTATGTTTTGAGATCTAATGAGCTTAATTAAAGTTCATTATTATTTCCTCATTAAAATTTGGGTTCGCTGCCTATTCCTTCTCCCCTAAATACATTAACCCTACTTATTCCATCCGAAACTATCAAACTCATAATCCTACCCGATCATATATTTTTTCTTTAAATATCCCCCAAACTTTTTAAATCCCCTCTCTAATCAATTCCCAAATCATGATTAGAGAAATTAATAAAATGTTTAGACACACTGGTTGCCCAATTAAATAAAATACATCCGACCCACTCAATTTAATTGTGGATCTAATTAAAACTAGAATCTAATTGGGACTTAGGTTTTTCCTATCTTCTTTCAGAGAGACTATGTTTGCATGAATAATAAGTAAACTATATTTTACTAAGACTATCACTAAAATATTATTTATAACTCTTTTGTTTTATTATAAATCGATATAATAAACATACAATTGGCTACATAATTTTTAATAAAGTAAAAATTATCTATTCGTGCAAACAATCTTCTATTATGAAATAATAAATCTCTCCAAAATATCATTTATATAGAAACCGAGAGAATAAATCTTATATATTAAAACAGAAGTCACAACCTTGATTCATGTGTGATTTTTTAGAAAATTGACTATTCCTTAGAAAAATTATCAAATGTTACAAATCTAATGATAATATCTTTAAGTATCTTTATCTTTTTATTTAAAATAGAAATGAAATAAATCCAACAAAATCTTTTTGTAATCTTTTTAAATTTTATTTCCTTAAATCATTGAATTTAAATTCTAATTATCATAAAATATCAATAAAAATTAATATTTTACTTATAAATGAAAATTTAAAATTATCTAATCTTATATATTAAAACAGAAGTCACAACCTTGATTCATGTGTGATTTTTAAGAAAATGGACTATTCCTTAGAAAAATTATCAAATGTTACAAATCTAATGATAATATCTTTAAGTATCTTTATCTTTTTATTTAAAATAGAAATGAAATAAATCCAACAAAATCTTTTTGTAATCTTTTTAATTTTATTTCCTTAAATCATTGAATTTAAATTCTAATTATCATAAAATATCATTAAAAAATATTATTTTACTTATAAATGAAAATTTAAAATTATCTAAAATATTTTAGTTATATTTTAATGAGAATTATAATATAAATTAATGGAGTTTCGAAAACACTTATTTACAAAATTTAAATAGATTATGTTAGAAAAAAATAAAATTCTATTTCAATTATAAAAAATAATATATTATATATTTATCTATCTATACTATTAAAATGAAGTCATGAGTTATTTCATTTATAATGTGTTACTTGGACCATTCTTTAAAAAATTATCAAATTTTACATAATTTAATTATAATATCACCCTATATCTTTATCTTTTATTTGAAATACAAATACTTTTGTTTAAGAAATTAAAATTTATCTAGATAACACTATATATTCCTAAAAAATAAATCAAAAACTATATACTGAAATTTGACCGACACAGATTTTTCATTATGTAAATATTAAACTTTGTTAGTATTGTAAAAATTTAAATATATTATTTACATTTAACTATATATATTATAAGTTTATAATTTTGTTGTTTAAGTTTCTTATTCGTCATTATTAATATATAGTAATTTGTTTTAAATATTTAAATTTATATTCATATTCTTATTGATTGTCATTACTTATTAATATATTTTGGAGTTTAATTCATAAATTATAATCTGAAATAATCAAATATATAATATTTTTAATATAAAGTTGTAGTTTCTACAATTTGCATACAATACATTTTAACATTTATTTAGATATACTATAGATAAATACTAGTTAATGATAATTTTTATTTTCATGTTGTGTTTAAAAATGATATTTTAACATCTCTACTTTAGTATTTTGCAAAATTTTATAAATAAATCTATTATATTAAAAGAGAAGTCACAACCTCATTTTATGTGTGATAATTTTTAAAATTGACCTTCTACTAGAAAATTATTATATTTAATGATTCTATCATCTTTCATATATTCTATCTATTAATGCAACATATTAAAACAAGATTAACCTAAAATCTTGCTTCTCTATATATTCTCTTCACGATCGTAGTCACTTAACATAATCAAATGATTAGAAAAGGAACCCACATTTTTTGGTACGCAAAAAGATACCAAATTTAGCTTTTTCGATTATTTTTTTATGAAAATTAATGCTTGGTTTCTTTTTGTACAATTCTTAATTACATGAATCTAAATCTTGATTTATAACATGATTATGAAAAGCATATACTTACCATCACATAAATGTCATGCTCTTCATATATTATGTTATACATTACTTAATTTTTCACAAAATATATTTATATATTTATGTTGGCTAAACTATAATTACCAAAATCAAATTCATGTAATATTCAATTATATAACAAAATCTATATTTTTGAAATAAATATCCGTTTGAAGTCTACCAATCTGAATTCAACAAATAAAAACACTAACAGGAGAATAGAAATAATTATATAAAAAGAAAAATAAATAAACTTGCATTGAAAATTGAAAATATCATCTAATTTGAAGTAAAAATAATTATCTAAAACGTCATATATTAAAAAAAAATGAATATATTCTACAAACAAAAACACTAGAAAACATTATGCTTTGTAAAGAATTATCAAATTACAAGTTACTTATCTAAGATATCAATTTGATTGTTTCACCATACAAAACCGAAATACGCAATCGGCATAGTTTACAATTTCCTTAATTCCATTTTAAAAATACACCCGCGCGGTTGCGCGGGTCAAAATCTTGTTATATTTTTTAAATTGTGGGGTTTTCTAAACGACATAATTATTAACAAAAAACAAACATCTTTTGACCTGTGTGTCATCCTTCACCGTCCATCACAAAAAACGTGATCTGTATGTAACTAACGTTACGTAACCTTCCTTTGTCAGAAAAAAACAGTAACGAGTAATCTTTTGTAGAATATAATCATAGAACCAGTGACCCCATAAGCAAATAAATCAAAGTCTTACGCGAATAATATTTATAGGCCTTTAGAATGATACTAATAAACTAACACGTATGTCATCAATATTCTTACCAAGTTATTGACGACATTACTACAAAGTCATTTCCTCACAAATGTTGATGTTTTCTTTGCCGCGTTTCTTTTGCGCGACATGGATCACGGTAATGATGATGATGGTATCACTTCAGATGCATGGTTATAGATGTTGCCTCCAGACGGAAAGGAAGGGTTTGTTGGAGCTCAAGGCCTATCTCAACATCTCCGAGGGTTTGTTGGAGCTCAAGGACAATATCAACAGCTCCTACTTTTGGCCTACTGACATGAACAGCGACTGTTGCCAGTGGAAAGCAGTCAACTGTGATATTACTAGTGGTCGTGTAATCGGGCTCTTCATAAACTATGCATACACAGTTCCTCCCCTAAATCTTTCTTTGTTCTATCCCTTTGGAGAATTACGCACGCTAAACTTTTCTTGGATCCCATGTTCATATTGGTACGATGATATCTATGGTACGTCTTTTACTTCCATTTTCTCATCCAACGTCGCTTGACTTGGATATTCACTAGGAAAACTGATTATGAAAAACGGTATGCATTTTGGTTAGTTGTGTTGCCTGGTCCTTACAAAGCGAACTGAACTAGTCTCTCCAGTTCGTTGACGAGGCCTAATTAAAATCTAGGTGGACTAAGCTTTATCTGCCAGAGTACGGGCTCAGCCATGGGATTAGTCATACGGCATGTCGGATATGGTTGGACCATATTCTAATCGTAGAACTCCATTCCCATGCTAACTTGAATCATCCACAAAAAAAAACTTGACACAAGTTCTATTCTAAATAATTCTTCATTAACTAATCATCATGGTTTTTGATTCATTCACAGGCTACGAAAGCCTCGGAAGATTGAAAAATCTTGAGATTCTGGAGTTTAGTTCAAGCGGACTAGATAGCAGTATATTACCTTTTCTGAATGCTGCTTCGTCACTTAGGACTTTGGTTCTTAGAGGAAACTCAATAGAAGGAACTTTTCCGATCAAAGGTATGTTCATTTTTGTTTCGGCGTTTTAGTAGGAGTGTCAGCTATGGTCAAAACATTTAAACCGACATGTTTGACAAACCATCCCACCATGAGATAGGTTAAGAGTTGATAACCCAAGTAAGCATGTTTAAAGGGGGAAACCCTATTAAATCTCTTAGTTTATATTTAATTAGTAAATTTGAGAGAGAGAAATGAAATAAAACCTAAAACTCTCTTATTGGAGTCAATTGCTCTAGAGCCCCTAAATGTCAAAAGGCAATCTCTCAAACCCCCAGTATATTTTTATTTTAGTTTTAATTAATTTTTAATGCAAAAACTAAGTGAATTACATATTTACCCTGCAACTATCTAACCTAATGAAATAAACTCAGAGCCGCCGACGGTTATTTTTTCAGTTTCTTCTTTTCCTCGTTTCTTTTTTTCTTTCTTCTCTCTTTTCTCTGCGATTTTCTCATTCTAACCTAATTTCATTCTCTGTTTCCATCCTTTCTTTCTTCTTCTATTCGTTTCCTCTGCAGAAATTAGAAGAAAAAACAGATTCGCCATGACTCAAGTTTGATGTGACGATGAAGAGAGTGAAAACCAGAGAAAAAAGAAGGATTGGATTGCGGTGGCTCACAGCCTGATGTGATGACGAAGAAGGTGACAGAAACGAAAAAAAAAGACCGGAAACTTTTTAGATCTGTTTAGTTTTAGGATTCTTATTGTTCTGAGTTTTTTTTCGATTTAAGATAGTTAAAGGTATTTCTGAGTTTTTTATGATTCAGGATCCTTATGTTTCGTGTTTCTCTTTTGTATTTTTGTGTTTTTATTTGTTTCATCTTCAGATCTGAATTCAGTATTACTTAGAAGAACTAACTCAGTACAACTACTTCATTAGTATTTAGTATTACTAGTATAACTTAATAGAACTTGGTATTACTACACTTAGTAATACTAAGTAGAACTTGGTATAACTAGACTTAGTAATATTTTGTAGAACTTGGTATAACTGCACTTAATAATACTCAGTAGAACTCAGTACAACTACTTCAGTAATATTTAGTATTACTAGTATAACCAGTATAACTTAATAGAACTTGGTATCACTGCACTTAGTAATACTAAGTAGAACTTGGTATAACTCAGTAGAATTTGGTATAACTGTACTTAGTAATATTTTGTAAAACTTGGTATAACTGCACTTAATAATACTCAGTAGAACTCAGTACAACCAAGTAAAACTATATCATATAATATAGTAGCCGAAAATTGAAATCGCAGAAATTTTTGAAATTCTGAAATTTTAAAATTTTGAATTTTGAAATTCTGAAATTTAAAATTCTGAATTTTGAAATTTTTAATTTTTTGAATTAAAAAAAATAAATTCGAAAATAAAAAGGGCAAAATTGGGTTTCTATATTTCATTAAAGCAATGAGGGTATAGGAGATTTTAGAGGCCCATAGGAGATTGTCTATGTAGAAATAGGGGCAAAGGAAAAGTTGGCTCCTCTTATTGCCACACATCTCTTAAGAGACGTGTCTCAAAGCTTCTAACTAGAGTACGTTACTTGACTTTATTACCTTTTTCTGTTTTTTTATTAATAAATATCTTAAGAGACACACTTAAGATACCTTGATAAACATGCTCTACGAGTTCTTTTGATATATAGATCGGCCATATATTAATCAATGAGAAGTTCCACTGGGTAAGAGTAGAATGCCATCTGTCGGCTTCTAGACCAGGAAGAATCCGTCCTACTCGTCCAAAGAAACTTTCTATCTAAGGATAAATGTAGATCTTTTAATATTTCAGATATAGACGATATTTTTTCCTAATCCTAAGGGATATGCCGACTATCTACTTGAAATATAAGCTCCAAATCCTACGGCGGGAGGCGAACAATAAAACATATGCTTTGGTCATGCGATCTCTTCTCTTTCGTAGTGTTATTAAGCAACGACATTAATTTACTCTAACATTTGCATGCTAGAAAGATGTGGATAGACAATACTAAAGACGATACGCCGACTTGCAAGCATAGCTCGAGGCTTTGAAGAAGCAGGTCGTTGAGATGCCCTCAGGTCGATCAGAACATCACCACAAAGGCCCAAACCCTAAAAGATTTTTTCTCCCTCTCCTCTCTCCACGACCTTTCTTATCTCGAGACTTAAAAGTTTTTGTGTTCAGTTCCGACGGCCGGCCAGCCGTGAGCGCGCGTGCCCGAGGCCTCCTCCTTCCCCTCCCTTCTTCGCTTTGCTTCTTCGTCCCCGTTCCCTCTCTCCCATTTTTGCTGTTGGCTCTGGTTCGACGTGCCGCTGCCGGCTAGATCTCCGCTCGCAAGGACCGTAGGCGTCGGTGGTAGTTTCTGTTTGCTCTGGAGTCGTGGCGCGGTGGAGGAGAGTGGTTGGTTTTTCGAGGGCTGAGTGAGCGGATTGCGTTTTCTTTTTAGATCTACTCTTGGGACCTCCATACTCTTGGTGGGGTTGGAGGTACACCTCTCCGTTCTGTTGCTGCCGCAAATCTGTAGCTGCTCTGGTGGAAAAGTGCGGCTGTGGTGGTTGAAAACGCAAGCCTCTGCATTGTCGTAGGGGTTAGTCTCGCATTCCGTCAAAGTAAAGGCTGTTCCGACGATCCATTTCACAGAAATGAGGCATGGTCTGTGGTATGCATGTTGTGACGGATTATAAGAAGAAACATATCAACAGATTAGATTAATAGAAAAAAAGACAGAGAGATTAATGTGATTCATCAATAGACTACTTCCACGGATAAATAGAGTGTTTATTAATGGATGAATTACAAAGATCTGTCTAGCACTAGCACTAGTACTAATGGGCCTCACAATATTAAAGCCCAATAGATTCACGGCATTATTTCAACAATTCTCCACTTTGATTTGAATTTTCCACAACCAGATGAACCAGAATGCATTTCTTCGTGCTCAGAATACAGATGTACCACTTTTTGTTTCCTCAAATGTTCCATCAAACTCAAATGTCAGATGTCCTGCCAGACCATATGCTTCTCAGAGCCAGATGCCTCCACTTAAACCAGATGCTCTTTAAGCCAGATGCCCCTTAGGGTCAGATGCCCTCACTTGGGCTATGCTCCTATGGGCCAAATTTAACAGCTTAAGATATTCAGCAAATCAAGACAATGCTTGAACTTGCTGTGAGGAACCGGCTTAGTGAACTTATCTGCAGGATTATCAGCTGTTCCTACCTTCTTAATTTCTATCCTCTTCTCATATCTCAGAAAATGATATCTTACATCAATATGTTTTGTTCTCTCATGATGAACCTGATCCTTGGCTAAACAGATAGTATTTAAGTGATCTCATAACACATTATCCTGATCATGATGAAGACCAAGATCACTGACCAATCCTCTCAACCATATTACCTCCTTGGCAGCTTCTTTCAATGCCATATACTCTGTCTCAGTAGTAGACAAAGTCATCGTCGACTGCAAATTCGGTTTCCAGCTCACAACAGAACCACCCAAAGTGAATACGAATCCAAATACCCAGTAACCAGTCTTTGATCCTTGTTTCCATATACAAGATTGACATCAGATGTACCCTTAAACAATCCTCTTCACAGCCATGTAGTGCTCCTTGCATGGCTAAATCATAAAACTGCTCACCACACTGACTGCATGTGAAAGATCTGGTCTTGTACATACCATAGCATACATCAAACTTCCTACAACGCTAGCATAAGGAATTCATGACTTTTAATCAATTTCTCCTTCAGACATTTCATCACTCATGGTAGGATTAAAGTTTGCAGCACATGGAATATCGATAGGCTTGGCATTAAGCATCTTGAATCTCGTCCAAATCTTCTTGATGTAGGTCTTTTGTGAAAAGAAAAACTTTTCATCGCCTTATCCCTGAACATGTCCATACCTAGAATCTTCTTCACAGCACCCAAATCCTTCATCTCTAACTCAAAACTCAGTAGCTCTTTAAGCTTCTGAACATCACACATCTTCTTGGCAGCTATCAACATGTCATCTACATACATCACCAGGTAGATATACGATCCATCCTCCACCTTGCTCATGTAAACAAAACAATCATAAGGACTCCTGTCCTAACCCAACTTGACCATATAGTTGTCAAACCTCTTATACCACTGTATAAGAGACTGCGTAAGTCCATAAAGTGACTTCCTCAACTTGCACACGTGATCGTCCTTACCAGGAAGCAGAAAACCCTCAGACTTAGTCATATATATCTCCTCCTCAAGCTTTCCATGCAGAAAAGCAGTCTTCACATCAAGTTATTTCAATTCTAGATCCTGACGTGCTACTATCGCCAATAGCACTCTGATAGAAGTGTGTCTGACCACATGTAAGAAGATCTCATTGTATTCCACGCCATCTCTTTGACTGAAACCTATAGCAATAACTCGAGATTTATACTTAACTCCTTCTTCTAACGACTGACCATCTTTTATCTTATAAATCCACTTGCAAGTCACAACCTTTCTTCCATGTGGTAGTGTGACCAGATCCCATGTGTGATTATTCTCATGGGATTCCATCTCATCTCCCATTGAAGCAAACCATTTCTCAGACTCATAACTTGAGATAGCTTTTCTGTAAGTGGACGGCTTGTAAGTGTCCACTTCTTCTGCAACTTGTAGTGCATAACTCACCATATCATCAAACCAATATCTCTCTGGTGGTCTGACATCAACTCTCATTGGTCTATCTTTAGCAATACTACGTTTTACAGACCCAACACGTTGATTTCCATAATTAGAAGACTCATGCTGCTCATCAGACGTCGATCGCTCGATCTCTTCTTGAGGATCGATTCCATGTTGTCGGTCATCGATCTCTTAATCCGACTGCTGCGATCGCCCGATCCTGTGTCTGAGATAGATCGGTTGATCCTTGACCGTCCGACTGTATTTCCTGTAGCTCCACCTACTTGTCAAAATCCTCTTATTATGCTTCTGAAATGGATTCAGCTGAAACTTTGAATATAAAACTCTCATCAAACACAACGTTCCTACTCATTACAACTCGTTTCTAAGATGGAGACCATACTATATATCCCTTGACACCATCTCCATAACCCATAAACACTCCCTTCATAGCTCTTGGTTCCATCTTTCCTTCATCAACATAATAATAAACTGTACAACCAAAGACTCTTAGAATAGAATAATCATCAGACCTGCTTGACCACACCTCATTAGGTATTCGACACTAAATCTTTATATGTGGTCCTATATTGATCAAATAATAAGACATGTTCACTGCCTCAGCCTAAAACCTCTTCTCTATACCAAAATTAGACATATGCACTTGCTCTCTCCAGCAATGCTTGGTTCATTCTCTCTGCTACACCATTCTGCTATGGTGTATATTTGATTGTATGATGCCTGGGAATTCCAACATCCTTACAAAACTGATTGAACTCTCACGAACATAATTCAAGACAATTATCAGTACGAAGCCTCTTAATCTTCTTTTCAGTTTGGTTCTCCACCAGTATCTTCCACTCCTTAAAGCTGTAAAAGCTTCACTTTTGTGCTTCATGAATGTTATCCAAGTCTTCCTAGAATAATCATTAATCATGGACACAAAATACATGTGACCCTTCAGCGACTCCACCTTGGAGGGACCCCAACAATCTGAATGGATGTAATCCAGCATGCCTTTTGTCTTATGAACAACCTTCGGGAATGTCTTCCTATGTAGCTTCCCAAACACACAGTGCTCATAAAACTCAAGACTCTTGGTTATATGACCACAAAGAAAATTTGGCTTTGATAGAATATGCATCCCATACTCACCCATATGTCCAAGCCTCATATACCACAACTTGTTCATATCTTTCAGGCAAACCCTTGGAGATGCAACATTTGCTGAACCTTAGACCATGAAACAATACAGAAAATACAGAGTACCATGAATGAAGCCTCTCAAAATCGCAACTGAACCTCCGTAGACATTCAGAACACCATCTCCACCTGAATACTTGAAACCTCTGCTATCCAGAAGACTAACGGAGATCAAGTTCTTGGACATAGACGGAACATGTATAACTCTAGTCCATGTACATATTCTACCCTCATGTGTCCTGAGCTTAATGGAACTGATTCTTGCAATACCGCAAGCAAAGTCTTTCTCCATCTTGATCTTCCTATCAGTCACTTCCTCATGCTCTGAGAACAACTCCCTCCTTGGACACATATGATAGGATGCGCCAATGTCTAGGACCCACACATCTCTAGAATATTTTTTTCTATGAGCAACCAAAGCTATGTCATTTTCAGACTTAGTTTCATCCTCGCTTACAACAATGGAACCAACTTACTTCTTCTTCTTAGGACAATCCGATTTCCACTGCCCATTTTCTTTGCAGTAATTGCAAATATCATTTGGCTTAGGACCCTTTGGAAATGATTTTTTGTCTTTTGACCTCTAGCCTTTTTTAAAGTTCTTTCCAACACCTACAAACAACCCGGAAGCTTGGTCATCTATACCAGATGCTGATGCCTTGTGACGCAACTCCCTGCTATGAAGTGCCGACCTGACTTCCTCCAAACTCACTTTATCATTACTTCCTATGAATGACTGAACAAAGTTCTCATAGGAGTTAGGCAGTGAAACCAACAAAATCAATGTCGCATCCTCATCCTCCATCTTAACATCAATATTCCTTACATATAACATAATGGAGTTTAAACTATCAAAATGTTCCTGAAGTTGTGTACCTTTCTGCATCCTCAGAGCAGAAAGACGTTGTTTCAGAAGTAGCTTCTTAGTTAGAGACTCTGTCATGTATAAACTCTCTAACTTTGACCACAAATCAGCTGCAGCATCAACACTAGAAATCTCGAGGATGATTTCATCTGCCAAACTCAACAAAATAGTTGAATACGCTTTCTCTTCAGTAACCTCCATCTCTAGTGTAACATTTTCAACCTTCTTACCCGACAACAGTGCCCAAAGACCTTGTTGCTTCAACAACGCCTTCATCTTGATTTTCTAGAGACTGAAATTGTTCCTTCCAGTAAACTTGTCGATCTTCATGTTCATCCTAGACATCTTCTCACCAGATTCAACCCGAAGCTTTGCTACCAGTTTGTTGTGACGAATGTGAGAAGAAAAAAATTAGCAGGTTAGATGAACAGAAAAGAAAGACATAGAGATTTAACGCGGTTCACCAATAGGCTACCTGCACGAGCAAAGATAGTGTTTATTGATGGAGGAATTATAGAGATAAGTCTACAAGAAGAACATATCTGATTTTCTCTCTATTATGGTTGTTACCTAGGTTTAGAGGAGGCACAAGATATATATAGTGGTTTTTTGTGTCATACAAAAATCTTAGCACTAATGGGCCTCACAATATTAAAGCCCAACAGATTCAAGGCATTATTTCAACAGTGCAGTAGGTGATGACACCCATTCCTATTCTGGCTTGTGTAGGCGTTATGGGTAGGTCAGACAAGAGGTCTTCCATGGCCTATTTTTTTCTGCTTAAAGCTCTTCATGTCTTCAGATTTTTCATTATTGTCTCTGTTTCGGTGCCTTCGATGTTAGTGGCGGCTTTTTGTTATAGGTTGGACTTCTCCGGTGTTGCTATCACTTTTGACACGGGTTTTAGCATTATGAGCATTGTCATCCATTTCTATGGTTTTCGGAGATGGCAAGTGGTGTCGCGGCTTGTGGATAGGTCGTGACTGTGTCTCACTTGTGCTAAGCTTCCATCCCAGTGCCGGTTGTGTGCCGCTTGATCCACTTTCGGTAGTGTTGCTTGGCTAACTTTTTTGTTCAAGTCACCAGAGTTGTCTCCGGTCAGGGTGTGGTGCTGGGGCCAGGTCCGGTTTTGGTGTTGCGACGAGCATGGAGGAGTGTACAGATCGGTTCCTAGAGCTCTTCTTCGTAAAGGTTTTATGAAATCATCTCCTCTTTTGTTCACTTAGTACTCATCGAAAGTGACGGTTATGAGTTTCGAAGAGTTTATTGGGAACTAGCTGCTCCGAAGACGACTTAGGAAATTCTGGCATCCGAGGCAACGAGGAGAACCTCACTTTTCGAGATCCTCATCGATGGTTGAGAACAATCATCGATTCCTAAAAATTTCAAAAGCTGATTAGCTGAATGTGATGTGTTTAGTGGGTGGACAAAGCTATGAATGTAATAGATTGACTTCAGAAATTTTGTTTAAATCTGATTTGTAATCGGATCTGAATTCCTATATGTTGGGTTGAACAAAATTTAATAAAAAAAGTTATTAAAAGAAAATGCTTATAGATTAACTCACCTTTAAGTAGAAAAAGTGGATATTTAGGGGAAAACTCCACTTTGACAGAAGTTGATAGAACAAGAAGGAGGTTCTCCTTCTTGAATGGAGAACATGATACTCCAAACCCCCACAGGAACTAAGGAACAAGACATAGACATACAAGCCATGAACACTAATCGTGCAAACTTACTCATGGAGAACGATGACTACATGGATATGGAGACGCATGAGGCTGCAGTGACTGAGAAGTTAGGAGAGACTACCTACATGGAAGAGTATTTTTTCCAAGAATTTGAGGTTGTACACACCTTAATAGAACGAATATATGGTGTAGTCCGACCATTTGGAGGAGCGCCTTGGATTCATACGTGGATACCGATGAAGTATGTGGATTTTTGATGGAACATGCGATCTAGATAACGATGTGGCATAACACATGCAAATAATGGTTGTTTGGGTGAAAAGACTTCCTATCGATTATAAATATGTTAAATTACTTAAATATAGAAAAACGTATTGTCTACGTAACCAAATCCTAAAACATCTCGATAATCTTCTAATCTATTAAGAGAGAAGTCATGATTCTTTTAATGTGTGATATTTTAAAATAGAACATCTACTAGAATTTACAACCTAACATTATTCAATCATTAATAATATTTATTGGGTTCATTAATAACATTTATTAAGCTTACCAGAAATTTTTATCGGACTAATAATAATTAGATGATATATTGGATTTATAGATAATATAATAAAATACATTTTTTCAATTTATTTTATATAATTTAATGTTGTAATAGTATAAGTTAATAATTTATATATTTTTCGATGTTAACTTTTAAAATTATATAGTTTATTTTTAAATAACAAAATCATCATGTTCTAACAATAATTAATCTATAGTACCTTAAACCAATGAAAACAATTTTTAAATTATATAGTTTACTTTAAAAATAACAAAAACTAATTTTTTAAATATATACTTAACAATTAAAATTTTGTTAAACTTTATAAATTTGAGATATGTTACAATATCTTTAGAGATGACAATAAAACAATATTTTACCAATCGATATATTTAAGAATTAAATAATGAAATAATAATAAAAATGTATATATATATAGAAGAAGATACAAATACATATGAAAATTTGAAATAATCTATTCGTTGATAATATATGGTAAAATTGTTATCTTTTAAAAAAATCGATATATATACTCGTCATATAATATATATCAATTTAGAAGTGAAAACAAAATGTTTATATAAAATTAAATGAAAACAAATATCCGCGTGGTTGCGCGTATTGAGATCTAGTATTATTTAAAAAGTGACTTCTTACGTGTTGTACTTAATTTTCAATTTTCATATTGATTACAAAGGATACCTTTGATGAACTGAATTAATTATTATAATTTTCATTATTTCTGATGTATATTTTTCTTACTAAAGATTATACTTACCATTTATAACAATTATTTTATTAAATTTGTAATTCACGTTGTCAGTTGACACCCCTTTCGTGTGAATGTGTCCGCTACTTAATAATAAAAGTAGATGGCGTGGATGATTGCATTACCATACTCTAGTCTGAGTCAACTAGTTGTTTGTTGTCTTTCATTTTGCAGACCTTAAAGAATTAAGAAACCTAGAAGTGCTTGACTTAAGCCGTAACCGATTTAGTGGCCCTTTACCAGGTGAGTGAAGGTTGTAAATCTTTACTTAAGCAGAAACCTATTTAGTCCCACATATATACAGATTTAACATTAATTATACACATTTCAGTTGATTTTTAATGTTTCCTATTGCAGACTTGGCGTATTTGCATAAGCTAGAAGCTTTGGATTTAAGCGACAACTCTTTTTCTGTATCATCGGAAACAAAAGGCATGATTGTACATTACAGATCAGTTAACTTGTTCTAGTATAGTTAGCTTAATATTTGTCGTTACAAGTTGTACACGTGGAAGTGATCATTGCATGTGATTGTTGCAGGAATTTGTCAACTGAAGAATCTGCGAGAGCTTGATCTGAGTGGAAACGGACTTGTGGGTCGGCTTCCTTTGTGTTTTGGTAGCTTAACCAAACTCAAAGTTCTTGATATCTCTTCAAATAAACTCAATGGGACAATTCCATCTCTTATCAGTAATCTCACTTCCCTTGAGTACCTATCTCTATCAAATAATGAGTTTGAGGGTTTCTTCTCTTTTGAGTTAATTGCCAACCTCTCTAAGCTCAAGGTTTTTCAGACTTTCATCTAATTTGCTGGAAATTGAGACTGGTATATCGTGGAAGCCAAGTTTTCAGCTGGATGTCATTGAATTACAATACTGTAATTTGGGAACTGTTCCTATCTTTCTTCAACACCAGAAAAGCTTGCGTCTAGTTAATCTCTCCAACAACAAAATGACTGGAGTATTTCCCTATTGGTTTCTGGAGCAACATCCAAAACTTGAGGTTTTGCTTTTGCAGAACAACTCTTTCACCATCATTCAGCTGCCAAGAGTTGTTCACAGTTTGAAAGTTTTGGATGTATCAACCCATGAATTTGATGGACAGCTTCCTGAGAATATTGGAAATATTCTCCCAAACCTAAGCCACTTGAATCTCTCGGATAACGTCATTCAGGGGAATCTTCCTGCCTCGTTAGGGGAGATGAGAAGACTCAAGTTCTTGGACATATCTCGTAATAACTTATCTGGTAGTCTACCAAGAGAATTTCTTATGGGTTGTCACTCATTGCTTATTCTAAAAATTTCACACAACAAATTTACTGGTCAGGTTTTTTCAGAAGAAGCAAATTTGACTTCGTTGGGATTTCTTATGGCTGATAACAATTATTTCTCTGGGATCTCAGTTGGATTGCTTCAATCAGTTACATTAAGAGTGCTCGATTTATCGAATAACTATCTACGTGGTGTCCTTCCAAGTTGGTTGGGTGGATTTAATTTCACGTATCTTCTGGTTTCTAATAATCTTTTGGAAGGTGAAATACCAAAAAATCTCTTTAACATCTCAAGCATTACACTTATGGATCTGTCTAGGAACAAGCTTTCAGGGAATTTGCCACCGTATTTCAAATGTGATTTTACGGCTATGCTGTTCCTTAATGACAATGAGTTCAGTGGATCTATTCCTAATACGTTATTAGAAAATCTCAGGGCACTCGATCTGCGAAATAATAATTTATCTGGGACCATTCCACGGTTCGTCAACATGAGCTTCATCCAATATCTTTTATTGAGGGCTAACAAATTAACCGGTCATATTCCTAAGGATCTATGCGGGCTAAGTAGCATCAAGATTTTGGATTTAGCCAACAACAGATTGAATGGGCCTATACCTTCATGTTTTAACAATATACCATTTGGAAAGAGTGTAGAAAATATCAGGGATGAGTATATATTAGGATATGACCTTCAATGGGACAATGAATTGGGATCTTACTACGGGTCATGTGTTCTACCACCAGAGTTTGATCCTCACTACATTAGCGATTTGAAGTTCATAGTTGAATTTGCCTCAAAGAGTAGGTACGATTCTTACACCGAAAGAAGTTCCGAATACATGTCGGGTTTGGATTTGTCAAGCAATGAACTCAGTGGTAATATACCAAGAGAGCTGGGAGATCTTCAGAGAATGCGTGCTTTGAATCTGTCTCACAATTCTTTGTCAGGTCTAATACCCGGAAGCTTCTCTAATCTAACAGATATAGAGAGCATTGATCTTTCATTTAACATGTTGCACGGATCGATACCTCGGGGTCTAACCAAGTTAGATTATATGGTTGTATTCAATGTCTCGTACAACAACTTGTCAGGCTCCATTCCAAGTGAAGGCAAGTTTCTTACATTGGATAAAACCAACTTCATTGCAAATCCTCTTCTTTGTGGTTCGGCCCTAAACAAAAGTTGTGATGATGATGATAACATTATCGATTTTGAGGAATCCGATTTTCCAAGCGAAGATGGCAAGACACCAATCGATATGGATATTTTCTACTGGAGCCTAGCAGCCACCTGTGGTGCAACATGGATTGCATTTATTGTTTTCCTGAGCTTTGATTCACCTTGCCGCCGAGCATGGTTTCGTATGGTTGATGCTTTTATCAGTTTTTACAAATGTGTTTGATTTGGTGTATTTTTGGTTGTATTTCTAAACTACATCTTATGTTGTTTCGTTTTGTAAGATCGTCAAAGATAAAATACTGTAATGCACAATTTGATTGAAAAGAAAATACACTTCTACAATAATCTTAGAAATACTCTGAAACATGCTTTCCATTACAGGAACGCATATTCATTCATTTTTGCTGCTTTTAAATAGGACAATCACCCTAGGATCTAGAATGTAAACTTCCCAAGGTTTCTTGGATCTCCGAGGGAGCTACTTACCAGCAAGATTCTATTTCAATTCCATCGGAATCCAACGATCAAACTTCCCAATCACTTGTTTTATGTTTTAATCTAGTAACTAGATTTTAATCTGGATTTTACAAGTGCAAAAGTATTTTATGATGAAAATTTTCACTAATAACTAACAAATATTTTGTTAAATTGAAAAAAAACTGTGTTTTGAAAATACTTTTGTATTTAAATCATTATTTTTAAATTCGATATGAATCCACAATTTCGCTAGTTAATTCAATGATCTGATAAATCGAAGGCAAATAAATTATAAAATAATATGAGTTAGTCTAGTAATTAATAGAATTATTAGAGTCATTTAAGTAATTTCACTAAATATTATAATTTCTCAAATAATATATATCTTCTTTATAGGCTATATTCAATGTACCAACATAGCTCAGATGGTTAAAAATCCTTCATTTGACACCGCTGAAATCCCTTGCACCAAGGGGAACCTTGAACATTTGTGTTTACTTTTTAGTTTACAATTTGAAAATTTCACACCGTTGACAAAACTCTTATATATATATATATATATAATATTTTCATTTTTAAATAAAAAATATTCTAAATTTAATATTTTTATATATAATCATTATTTTAATAACAAAATTATTATTTTAATATATTTAAAATTAAATTAATTTATGACACTGTTTATGGATCTGCCACTGGCTGTGTCTAGTATTCTTTAATCTTACACAATTATTTTGGTATTTAACACGATAGAAAAAAAACATTATAGGAGAGGGAAAGAGAATGGTGTAAAAAAGGCAAGTAATGTTTGTTTGTTTTTGTTTTCTTCTTGGGAATTATGATAATATAGAACAGAAAAGCACATTCTTTGTCCCTTTAGTATAAAACTTACTTGTCCTTGTCCTTATAGTATAAATCTTTTCATAATCCCAAAATTAACCTTACATTAATCTAATTAAACATATTTTAAACATTTAACGTCAAATAAATTAAAAAGAAAA